TTTTCACTTTTCTATTTCAGTTTCAGGATATAAAAGGTTTCAAATATCCTTCAAATGTAGCAAAATGACCTCATTCATGTGTATTTTTAACAGTCTCAATTTGCATAATCTCAAGTACTATGAGTACTTCAATTCCATACACTATTTTGCAAGGCACATCATTTCATACGCAATAATCCTCATATGGCTTAAAAACTTCTTTTATGGCTTTTATATTTGCATTTATTTCTTAAGTCTGAATAATCTTAAATGCTATTCTGTCTTGGATTGCCATACATGCAGGGTTTCTACTCAGATCATCACTATGTCACATACAGGTGCCAGATCTGTGTTCGATTATAAAATCATAATCTTGTAGCATTAATGTCCACCTAGATATTTTAGTACAAATGATTTTCTTAGTCATAATTTGTTTGAATGCATTACAATCTATCATGATTTTAAATGGAATGCCTAATATGTATGCCCTATCAGGAGCTCATATTTTGTGAGTACAGGTGTGGCAATCTCGAGGTACCTTTGCCCTTCAGGCAATCATATTGGTGAAACAAGAGTTACGATCCTCAAGCCTCAGTGATCTATCCTCTTTTCTGTCTCCCTTTCTCTTAGCTATAACTTTTACTTCCCCTTCTTTCTTGGCTATTCCGTGGTTTTTCATCTTCATAGGTTGGGGCTCATCATGAGAAGCTGTTACAGCTCTTGTCCTTTGTTTTCAAGTAGCTAGTAAACTGCCCACGTATTTGCCATGCTCAGAGATCCATGCCATTAGAAAGGAGGGTTATGGTAATTCAGGAGCAGGGTACTGTCCCCAACAAAATGTTTTGGTCTCTGTTTTGGTATCTGCTACAGCTAAACAGGAGGTACTTTGTTGTCTTTACTAGTGTCAAATCGCTGTCTCCCAATTCCGATTTCAACTACTTGGGGATAAACTTTGAGAAAGGCGCCTATAGAGGTTCAGTTTATGTGTAAGTATGACAAGTCATAATACAGGAATCTGTGTTCCCTTGTTGCGCTCTGTGGTGGGTGGGATGGTCAGACCATATCTTATTCTCAATATGGCCATTTCAAATCTCAGTTTACATGATTCCGAAACCTGATATGAAAATCACACCAAATACTGAAACTACTACCCTATCTGCAATAAAGACGTTATGCACTGTATAGAATGAAGAATCTAATACCTATTCACGTTTCCTAGTCATAAGTAGCCCTTCTGGTGAACTGTAAAAGATGTCTCCTTTTCTCATAAGCAAATGCATGCATTCATGCATTGGTGAACCAAGGAACATAAAGCATCTCCGTTTTGGAGATTTGCTTATTGGTATCACTTCGGCCAGCCATTCTTCTCTTATATTTCAAACCAAACTTGGACAAACATCTATAACTGTATCAGCACTTAAACACGCAAGAGAACTTGTGGTTTCATCTCAAAAATTAACCTTCTGTTTGTTTCAGAAGAAGAGTTCTTCTCCAAGCTTGCTGACCAAAATGTCTGTGCTGCTCAGCAGATCAAGATGCATAAGGGAGGTCAGCTGATCAACCCAAAATACGTGATCCTGAGATTCAGCTTATCTGATTTGCCTAAGAATATTAAAGCTGGATATCTCAGTTTATGTATAAGATCTTATATTCCAAACCCCATGCAGTGCTTCCAGTCTCAGCATGCTAAGATCTAAGATCTGCCATTCTAAGATCTTGTACCGTCGCATATGGATTTATAACATCAACGAAGTTACTGAAATTTTCAAAACCATGTTGGAATACTGGTTGCTAAGGGACTCTCAGATGAGAGTAAAGCTTTGGGAGCTTTCCATATCTTATATAAGTACCTTACTTTTGTCAAATTGTATAGCCTTCAAAACCCCAAAAAGCTAGAAAAATAAGATATCAGAGCCAGAGGGATTTATGGATATCGTATGTGTCATCAATAACAGCCTCTATGCCAAGCAAAAAGGTGTGGGGAAAACTTAGAAAACCATATGGACTATATAAGGACTACTCAATTTCCTTTCCGGAAAAAAAATGTCTGAATTATTAACATCACAGAAGAAATTGTGAATACTATTGATGAGACATTTGCTGCTATATCTTCCAGCATCCACTGGCATTTCTTTCTGTCAGATCTTGCTCTGTGATAAATCCCATTGCTTTCAATTCTTCCAAGCCTAAACCTTATAATAGTGATTTTACTATGTTTGAGCTAATTTTACTTACATTATTGTATAAGTAATTACATACAATTACTTACATTAAAGAATGTTAAGTTTACACATAACTTACATTCCATTAATAGATTTAATGGAAAGCTGGGAAAGTTATTTAATTTAGATCTACTTTTCCTATCACCTACAATTCCAAACACAGTTTGATGCAAAAGTTTAACAGATATTGTGGAACAAGTTCTTAAAGATTCAGAAAGTTTCAAAACATAGTGCTTATCTTGATTAATAATAAAATAAATCTGATAAATATTAGTATGTGAACAAATGAATCAAAAACAAACTTATAGTTTCAAGAACATTTGAGCATTGTAATCTGAATCTCAAAATTCCATATTAGGTATTGAGCTTGTGTCCGAGGCCCATTGCATGCCAGGCTTCTCATGTGGATTCCCACTTTGTGGAACTCACTTTACTGAGTAAGGTGAATATACACTCAAATCCAGATGAATATTTAACTTGTTTATTTAATAATTATTTTAAAATTTGGTACACATATAGAGGAAAACAGGAACGTGATTGTATATACAAAATGATATGTATTACATTGAAAGAAAATTCTTAATTTAAATCCATGATTTTGACATTGTTATGCAAGTTCTTACACCTACGTCATCCTCTGTTCTGTCTCATTTTCATTGAAAAGCGGTAAATGCCATCTGTGTCTCATGGAGCATAACATTCTGCACATTATTATGAAGAAAGATGTTTTGATTGAACAAAATCTATCGTAAATATATGTATACATTAAAATACTGTTTCATCAGTTCCTTCATAGTCAGGAGATAATTTTTTATCTTAGCAGCAAACCATGTATTCACAATAAATTTGTTATCTTCATAGATCTAGAAGTGGCATTGCTTTAGAATTTCCCTCCCGTATTTGCAGAAAGAGGTAAAATGGTTAAAAGAAACCTGCATAGGTAATAAAAATCAGGTTTCTAGATATTTATTGGTCTGTAGGAGGGAAACCTAAAGGATTTCGATCTTTTTTACGAAATGGATGTAACTTATGATTATATTATAGTTGTTGGTTAGTATGATTATTGGAACATGGCAGCATGAGGGCTACAAGCTGAAGGGGAAGGATTCTTTCATGGAGGACATTCAAAGGGGAATTGGCTGATATTTACATTGTATGCAGGGAAAACTAAAAATACTAATTATGCAGCTAGACCATCCAAATAAGATAGAACCTGAGTTGAACACTTAGTATTGAGCAGTATTAACCAATGAGCCACTGGTGAGAACCCTAGATATTATCACATTTAGACAGTGTTTAGAAAACTATCATGGAGCTTGCATTGCCTGATGTTTTCAAAGATATTGTCTTTCCTTACTCTCTTTTTTTTGTGTTGGCATGTGTGCCAGATTTAGAAATTCAATTTCAAAAAGCAGCATGTGAAATTTTTAGGGAAAAAATTTCATCTGAAACATTCATAATAATTAGGATTTTATTATTGCTACTAATATGATCATAAATTTATCAGAATAATGAATGTTAATTTCCTGCAAAAATGATAAAATACTAGTTAAAACATTCATTCTGACCATTCATTCATATTGATTGCATTCTGACCACCATTTCAGAAATGCAACTGGGGAAATTTTTGCTGAAGTTTACTGAACTGTCTTTGAAGATTCTCAATTTACCTTTTTTTTTTATTATTGATTTTTGAATTATGGAAATAACTGAATGACATAGCTCTAAGTATCTGGCATTTTTTTGTTTAAAAATATAATAGGGTACAATGTTTTGCATACGGTGTTTTGTGATTCGAGCTTCTACTATCTATCTCTGTGAATTATGTGATTCATGCTTCTACTGTCTATCTCTGAATTATGCAAAGTGCATCGGTACTCATCCTCTCTGTGTTTATCATTGGCCCTTTACAATTTTGTTTGTAATTTTTTCCCCCTAGCAATTTTCATTATATGTCAGTGCCATTTATGATTTTTCAATGCGCTAATCCATCTCTGCTGGAAAAAAGTGGGCGTTGCCACTCAAAAATGTTGACATTTTTTCACTGTAAGCATAATTATCTGGGAATTATGTTTACAGTGAAAACCCTGTACTTTAATTTTGTGACCACCCTGTGCTTTAATGAGAACATAAATTTAAACTTTCATGTACTTTTTAACCAACTCCAGAAATTTTTTAGATTTTTCTTTTATTTTTGAAATATGCAATTTCTGTAACTGGAAGGCTCTCCAGCGGCCAAGTAAAGTCACTAAACACTGGTAGTTTGGTCTGAGGTTCGAATCCTATGAATGGGTTGTCTGCATGGGTGTTTTTGTGGTTTTCCCCATGTAATATGTATACAAGTAAGGGAAATTCTAAGGAAAATACATGTAATATGTATTTCCCTTAGAAAGTCCTTTACAAAGGCATCCCTCGCCTTATGCAGATGGCCCTCGAGGCTTTTATGTAATCACATAAACGAAATCAAACCAAATCTGTAACTGGAATTTTGTGCTTGTTTTCTTTAAAGATTGATTTCTTTAATTATACATAACTTATAATTTTTTAATCTGTAATAATTTTATACAAGAATCAATCATTATTCTTGTTTTTATAGAATATTTTGTATATGGTTTCATGCTGCTGTGTTTAAACAAAATAAGCAGTCAGTTTATGGATTTTGTTGTTCTATATTTTTAGTCACATACAGGGTATTTGAAGGACAATCAGTTTAAATACTTTCCATCCATTCATTTATTAAAATTTAATTGTTAAATTTAAGCAGTGCTTAATTTTTGGATTTATAATATTTTTATATAGGGCAGAATGGAAATCATACCGGAACAAATACCTGGCACTCCAAAGGGCTACTATGGCTCATTTAAAAAAGACTATTGTAAGTGGCATTCAAGAACTCAAAGAACAAGAGCTGAGTAGTAAATCTAATCTGGAATGTAATCCAGAAGTACCAAAGAAGGGTCTTCACTTCCAACCTGGTGTCATAATTAAAGTGAAATTATCTCAAGCAGTAAAAACTCCATCTGACATAAAGGTATAAAATTTGTAACATGTGCCTCTTTTCATTAAAAAAAATTACTTCAAATGTTGCCAAAAGTTTTTGTATTGATTGTTTTAATAAGGAAGCACTGTAAATAGTACAGGTTGTTAAAATAATGTAAAATAATTAAGTGCTTTTGCCCTATTAGTCATGGATCCATATTTCTAGTTTGAAAAAAAAGAGTTAAATAAAGTAGACATTCAGATTATAATGGTCTTAGTCATATCATTTTTTAGGTAAAATGCATGAGATTTCAGATTCTATGATCAAGAGAAACATGCTTCAACGATATTTTTGAATAGCTGAATTAGTGCAATAAAATAATGACTCTGTATTATGCAATGAAAATTATTCAAGATGTGATTAATTCTATAATGTTTTTCATTGATTAATGTAGAACTTTGTATAGATTGTGTTACAGACAGCTGTATGTTTAATTTGAAAATATTCAAATAGTTTCCTAAAATGCAGAAAAGGGGTTGAAGATACAGTTATGAGTTTCAGGATACCTTTTGGATAAGTGTTAAATTTAAAATGTCCGCCCCTAGAAATATTAATTCGTGCGATATGTCTGTAACATATTATTGCTCTGTCTGTGCATTAGATGAGCATGATCCAATTCATATAATTTTGAGAGGGAGAGAGTTATTCAACTGTGCATGTTACGGGACTTAATATGTAGAGGAAAAAATAAATCTGTATTAAGGTTAGAAAAACTACTAATTAGAACTTTTGCAAAGGCCCTCTTAAAAATTTAATTTTTAAAATTTTTTATTTAAATTGTCATAATTGAAAAACCTGCTTTATTTCATTCATTTTTTAAACTGAAACCATGGAACAGTAGCATATTGTTGAAGAAATAGTTCATTGTAGCATCTTTTTTAAACATTTGTCATATTTCTAGAATCACGTTTTTTTCACATGCTGAATTGAATAATTATGTAGGATAAACCATCAGAAAACTGTCATACAGAAATGAGTGAAGAAATATTTTCTTAAACATGAATTACATTGCGATGAGTATATACTATGTAAAAGTAATTTCTTGAAGTCATGACCACTTCAGTGCAAAAATTCTGCCTTACTAAATCAAAATCAAGTGAATTTTTATGAACCTTTGTACAGTATTAAAGTTTTTAAATAATATTCATTTAGTCATATATATAATTTTCTTATAGCCATCTCATTCATTATTGGCCCACCAGTGGCCGAGCAGTAAAGTCGCTGAACACTGGTAGTTCGGTCCGAGGTTCGAATCCCATGAACGGGCTGGCTGCATGGGCGTTTTCATGATTTTCCTCATGTGTAACGTGTATACACGCCAGTTCCCCTTAGAAAATTCTCCACGAAGGCTTCCCTTCCCTTAGGCAGATAGCCCTAGTATTCATGATCTGTGTTTATTAAAAAAAGAGTGTGCTGAAAAGTAGGCTGAATAGTTTTAATATTAGAATGATTTTGCTTTTCCACCCAAAATACATTATAAACATTATATATATATATTTAAATATATACAGGTGGTTCAAAACTATATGTCAAAAATGTAAAGGCAGGTAGAAGGGACCTAAAAAAGCATATTTTGAATAGGAATGTGTGTGTCGTAATGCCACATTAAGCCGGTTGAAAGCTTTGATGAGTGAGGTGTATAAAAGTGCTGTGCTAGCTGTATTCTTCATTTCCTGCACGAATCTCAAGCAACATGCATTGTTACACCAATGCAAGGCTTATTGACATGCATTTTGTGTATAGGGCTGTGTAAGGAAATGGATTAGCTGCTCAAAAGGTGTACAGGAAATGATTCTTGGATAGGAGAATATTTGAGTGTCTTCATCGGGAATTAAGAACGAGTTGCTTGTTTTATGCGTGCAAGCGTGATACTGGTATTGGAAGGTATCGCAGACTTCCTGCAGTGGAAGAAAGAATACTAAATGCATTAGGGGATAATCCTTTGTTAAGCTCGAGAGCTGTAGGATGTGCATTGGGTGTGAACCATGCAACTGTTTTGAGGACTTTACACAAAAACAGAATGCAAGCAATGACTCCTGACGTTTGTCTTCCACTTCTCAACTTCACCCATTTGGTACCTACGGCAGACTGCAACTTTCACTGATGAGGTTACCTTTATGCAGGGTGTATGTTTAACATCTATAATTCTCACCTGTTCGCTCTTGATAGCCGTCATTGTGCAATAACACACGTCTACCAAGAAAGGTTTTCCATTAATGTTTGAGCAGGCATAGTACACAATAACTTAGTAGAACCATACATTCTACCTAGTCGTTTAACTGGCCATAAGTACAGCATCTTTCTACAGGAGGTCTTACCTGAACTTTTGCTCTGTTCCCCCATCTGTTCGCAGATGAATGTGGTTCTAGCATGATAGAACCCCAGCTCACTTCAGCTGGAAGGTCAGGAATCACTTGGACACTGTCTACAGCCATTGGATAGAGACAGGGCAGAACAGTTCCCTGGCCAACATGTTCTCCTAATTTAATCTGTTTGGGTTTCTACTTTTGGGGTCATATTAAAATCTTCATACACGAGAGTCCTATCACATCTGCAGAAGATTTTGTTGCCTGTTTGTCTGTTGCTATTGGACATGTGCTCGACATACCCGACATCTTTTCTTATATACGCACGATCCATGGACTGCTGCTGTGAATCTTGTATCGCTGTTGGTGGGCATTCTTTTTAACACCTATTGTAAACTGTTAATATTTTTTTTCTTTAGTCTTTACTTGTCTTTTCTGTTTTTGCTGTGATTCACACTGCTTTATATTGCTATGAAATGTCCAGGTGTGGTGGGATAGCATTACCACAAAGCAAACTTAGCATTGCCAGAAAATGACTAGGGAAGGCATGATTGCGACATTTGGTGACAAAATTGGCTATATGCCATAGATGGATGGAGAACCTTCTGGAACAAATTCTTACTGGTTTAGCCCAGAATGTTCTCGGACGCAAGCCAAAAGCTATATAAACCGTGCTGGTACGCAGTCCATAGAGCTGATGGTCTGTCAATGAGTGCCTAGTCGAGTCAGAGAGTGAGTGTCTCGTAGTCTAGTGTCGAGTTGGTCATCGAGTGTATCGAGAGAGTCTCTTAGTGCTTCGTCGAGTTTCATCTTAGAGTGTGTTGAGCTCCAGGAATGAATGAATCAAGTCGGGAGCTGTACTCTAGTGTATTGTCGAGTGAATCACGAGTTGTAGTGTGGAGAATCTCGAGAGTATGTAGAGTTCCGAGAACAATCGAGCAGAGTTGGGAGCTGTACTTTGGTGCTTTGCTGTGAAGCTGTCTTCACCATTATAGCCTGGAGGCTGTGTCACTGATTGTTTCAGCATGTTTATAGTAGTTCTCCGACGACTGTAAACGTGATTTTGGAGCTGTCTTGAGCAATACTGGCTAATAAATTGTGTTTTGATACTTCATCAAGTGTCGTTGTTATTCCTTCAAATGCACGAACACACCCTTAATGTGAGGAGAAAAACGTAACAGTATGCTAGTGCTTTAATGTAGCATTACCACACACACATTCCTATATGAAATATGCTTATTCCGGGGTCCTCTACCTGCCTTTATATTTTTTACATATAGTCTTGAACCACCCTGTATATATCAGGGCAAAATTGATTAAATGTAAAGTGCTAAACTTCCTGAAAACAGAAAATTGTGTTGCATCCAAAATTGACCACAGATTATACACATTTGCAAATTAAATGGCCGTAGATTATAAGAATTCTACTGCATTTTCATTTTCATGAGAAAAACTGTATCTTTACATGAATAAACAGAGCAACAACCTTGTTTGGCATAGATTTTTATCAAGAATACAATAAATTTGAGGGCAAATATGCACAGGCCCCTCTTCATCAGAAGCAAAGAAATTTGCAAGCAGTTGTATTTATGTCCTACAACAGTAAAACAAAAGAGAAAGTAGTGTCCTGTGTCCACAAAAATAATAAAAAAAATGAAGTTAATAGAATTTTAAAAGTGTTAGAAAAGACTGGATACCCAAAAAGAGTAAAACAAATGAGAAGATAACTCCATCTGTTGGCAAAACAGTAATGAAAATTGACTTAATAGACTTTAAAAGTATTAGAAAGTCTGGATTGCAATTAGTCTTAAACAAGATAAATCTTTGTGAATGTGAAAACGTTCAAGAAAATCCAATTCACTAATGGAAGAGGCTTTTTGGATAATTTTTGCAGTCAAAATTATGATTAAATTTCCAGTAGTGATTATCTATCAAAGACTTGTTAATTTCACCTTTTTGGACATGCTATTCATGTTCCTTGATATGAAACTAGTCTGGTTTATGTGATTATGGCAAAGCCTCGAGAACTATCTGCCTAAGGGGAGGACTTTCTAAGGGGAACTGGCTTGCATACAGGTTACACATGGAGAAAACCACAAAAACGTCCATGCAGCCAGCTTGTTCGTGGGATTTGAACCTTGGACCGAACTACCAGTGTTTAGCAACTTTCCTGCTCGGCTGCTGATGGGCCTTGACATGAAACCTAAACGTTGTTTTAGTCTGACCAATATATCTCAACTTTCAATTCACACAGACATGATATGCTGTAAATCCCCAAGAATTGAAATCAGAAATGGAATCTTTAAGAATCGAGCCATGGATTTTATTGATAGGAGAGAAAAATAACACAAAATTTGAACTTCTGGAGAATCTGCACAATTTTATAATTCACAAAGGATAAAATAGAAGCAAGACAGTTATTAATGCTATTTCTTTTATGGAAAGCTGAAAATTTTTAAAGCCTTTATCCATGTCCACATGAGAAAATCCTCGGTCAGTGGTAACTGATTTCAAATAATTAAATTAATTAGCAAGCAAAGGTTCAAAGGAACAAACTTTGAAAGCATAAAATGCATAATAGTAAACAACTATAATTCTTGGAGAGTTAGTAGCATATTGTGTCCATGTAGTTTGAGATATATCAGCCTGAGTAAAAGAGCATTAAGGTTTCTTAGCAAGGAACACAAATCTTATGTCCAAAAAGGTGAAATTAACAAGCTTTCGATAGCTAATCACAATTGGAAATTTAATCATAATTTTGACTTTGGGTCTGCAAAATTTATCCAAAAGCTTCTTCCATTAGTGAATTTGATTTTCTTGAAGCTTTTCACATCAAAAAGGTTTCTTTTTTTAGTTAATGACTTCAGTTAATGATGCAGTCCATCTTAATGCTATTATAATTCTATTAATTTCAATTTTCATTACTATTTCTGCTGACATGGCACTAAATTTTCTTTCCCTTTACTGCTGTAGGGTATAAATACAACTGTTGACGACTGTTTGTTTTCAGATTTCTTTGATCCTGATGAAGCGGGATGGGTACCTGTTTGCTATCGAAATTGATTGAGTTCTAAGACAAAATCTATGCCAAATACAAGGTTGTTTGTTCCTTTGCTAATTTTATGTTTCACTTTGGTGTGTTTCTCTTCTGTGTTGGTATTTCAAATAGAGATGTTCCTGGAATTTAATTTTAAAACATCTAGATTGAGAATTTTATTTATCAAGTATAATATCTCTTAACTTCCCACTGTTGCATTTCTGCAACATATGATTTATTTTAATTTAACAGACTCAATATTTTTTTTAATTACCTACAAATTATTTGTCTGAGAAGAAAAGATTACTGCAACGAAATACATGCTAATTTTGTCACTAGATAGCAGCACATTTTTTCCAGAAATCACAACAATTGTAAAAATTTCTGATGCCTCAAGGACTGTGTTTTTGTTATAAAAAGACTCCATTATATTTTATGCTTCCTCTTGTTTATTGACGAAAAAAATTACCAGGTAAAAAATTTAAACATTTTATGTTCATTTAAAAGTAATTTTGATTTTCTAATGGAAAAAGTTTGAAAGAAATTTGATTTTAATTATATGTTGCAGGTCTGCAACATTGGTCTTTGGTTACTATTTTGACATGGCCAAAAAGCGTATACTAACCCAAGATGAAATTGTTAGATATATGAATAATTTGGAAAAATTAAGTGATTTAAGTGAGGATGGTCTTTAATATTCTGCTGCTGATGTTCATTTTTTACCTGATTGTGTATCATCTAATGATTATTCGGATAGCGACTGTGAAAATAGTGTTTCACAAAATACAATTCAGAATATAAAAAAAAATTCTGATGATGATGATAATAAATTTGATAGAAATATTTCAGTCAGTGTGTGTGTGTGAGTGATTATGGCAAAGCCTCAAGAGCTATCTGCCTACGGGGAGGGATGCCTTCGTGGAGGATTTTCTAAGGGAAACTGGCTTGTATACAAGTTACACATGGGGAAAACCACGAAAACGACCATGCAGCCAGCCCCATTTGCGGGATTCAAACCTCGGACCGAACTACCAGTGTTCAGCGACTTTACCGCTTGGCCGCGGGTATATTTCAGTCAGAGAACCTCTTTTAAATTTAACTGTTAAGAATAATAAAACATTGTCAAAGAATATTTTATGGAAAAATCAAAACATTTCATTGATTGAAGAAGTAATAAAATTCCATGAAGATGACACTCTCCCAAGAGAAATTCGGATTTGGACACTACGTACCAATTTTTTAAATATTTATAGATGGAAGAGATCATAAGTAACATTTATGAAGACAGCAAACGATATGCTATTCAAAAGAATCCAAGTAAACCTTTGACTATATCAGAGAATGAAATAAATCAATATTTGGGTATTTGCATTCATGCATCTCTAGTTCACCTGCCAAACCATAGAGCATACTGGTCAGAAGAGCTTGGATTTGATCGAATTAAAGAAACAATGCTTTTTAAAAAATTTGAAACTGTTAGATAGTATCTCCATTTTAATGATAATGATGAACATCTACCAAGAGATCATCTTAACCATGATAGGCTACATAAAATTAGACTCCTTGATGATGAGCTAAATAAACATTTTGCTAAAGTTCCTTTAGAAAGGCATCTATCGATCGATGAGCAAATATGATCAACTAAAGTAAGACATTATATGAAACAATACTTACAATTGAAGCCACATAAATGGGGATTTAATTTTTTTGTACTTTGTAGGATATCAGGTTTTGCCTATAAATTAGAGTTATATTCAGGCCAAGAAAATAATGAAAAGTATAGGCTGAAGGGTGAACCAGATTTAGGTGCTGGTGCAAATGTCATAATACGATTAGCAAGAATTGTACATTGTAATAAAAAGTACACTTTCTACTTTGATAATTATTATACTTCTATTCCACTTTTAGCATATTTATCTAAAGAAGGGATATATTCTTTAGCAGCCAAATTCCTAATTCCAAAATTCCTACTGAAAATGTTTTCATTAAAAAGGAATGAGGACATTCAATGGAATTTGTTGAGAATTATAATGATGTAGAAATCTCTGTGACAGCATGGAAAGACAATAAAACTGTAATAATGGCCTTAACATTTGTTGGTGAAAAGCCACTTGGAAAAGTATTGAGACATGACAAGAAAACTAAAGATTGTGTAGAAATTATTAGGCCTCATGCCATTGAAGAATATAACAAACATATGGGAAGTGTTGACTTACTCGTAGTATAATAGCTCGACACAAAATATTAATGAGAAGCAAGAAATGGTATATGAGAATTTTTCTTTCATTTGTTAGATCTAGTTATCGTAAATGCATAGTTACTATACCAGAATGTGGAAACTGATAAGAAATCTGGGGAAAAAAAAAAAAAAAAAATCTAATGAATTTACAAAAATTCAAATCTCAAGTTGCATCATGCTTATGCAAAATGGGCTACGATCGAAATGCTAAAAGAGGAAGACCTAGTAATGCTTCAATAGAACAAATGTCTCAGACTAAAAGATGCAAAGGGACTGCCCAATCCGTTCCATGTAAGGACATTCTTAGAGATGTTATAAATCATTGGCTAATATGATAAGAAAAGAATACGGTGCAAGTTTCCAAACTGCAAGAGCTACACTCAAACTGAGTGTGAATAGTGTAAATAGGGGACTTTTTACAACAAAGTCAATAACTGCTTTAAAAATTTTCATTGTATGTAAGGCTAAAGCAATTTATAACAATGAATAATAAAATCCTCATATAAGAAAAAGTTTTGTAATTTTACAGCACTACTGTGCAATGTTGCACTTCTGCAACAAACAAAAAAAGACTGAAATTCAATTTAAAACTGCTTAATTTTTAAAAAATATTTTTCCCTTTTATTATTACTTAAGAAGTAGCTGATATAATTTTTTCATAGAAATTTAGAAAATTGGGAAGTTAAGGGATATAAAATGATCAATCATAAGAAGTACGTATGCAATTTATAGCCAATACTAAAATACATGCTTTTGGAAGTTAAATGATAAGTTATTAATTTTTTTTTCTTTTAGGATCAAGTGAAGGCAAATGCTGTGGTGGCTTATATTGATGCTCCCTTAGGACATTCTGAAATATTTGTACGGTGCCATACTTCAGAAGAAGCTTTAGCTATTATCAATGAGCATAAACTGCAACATTTAGGAACTGCAGAATTATTGAAAGGTATGTGTATGTCATATTTACATGAACTTTTCTTATAACTGTATTTGGCAATTAATATTATTTTTAACTGTTTAGGTACACAGGTACATTGTATTAGGTACATTGACACATTGAGCCTGGCGCCGAATTTGCTGTCCTTTCCGTTCAGCCTTTTGGCTGCTGCCGGTCAAACGAAAATTCCAGTGCCGGTCACTAGGGACTGGCACTGGAAAGGTTCCCTAAAATTCTCTGCCAGTCACCAGGTACCGACGCCGGTGACACAGAAAGTTCGCTGCTGGTCCACTAAATAAATGTGTTAATATTATTTTGATAGCCTATCTGTATGATATACTCTACTTAAAATACTATATTTCACGTTGGCCAAATATTGATTAGTCCCACTGGGGCCGAATGCTTAAGATCACTGAATACTAGTAATTCAGCCTTTTGAACCCAAACAACAGGCTGGTTGCATGATTGTTTTTCATGAATGTCCCATGTGCAATGTGAATACAAGCCAGTTCTCTTATAAAGTCTTTCACATAGCTTTTCCTGTATTTATGGAGATAGCCTTTATGTGCTCTGCTATATCCAGATAACCCTATCCAACTGAGATATAGAATAACCACCAAAATTTAATGTTAGATAAGCAAGTAAGATAAACAGAATACTTATCCAGTGGTTCATAAACTTTCAATGTTACTTTTAATGTATGCTTATTCAAGTGTATACAGAAATTAAGCAACAAATAGGGGGAAATGATCATAATGAGCATATTTGGGGAAGAAAATATGTGGTTCAAAAAAGAAATTTTGAACCACCAGTACCTTTTAACCCTGTGAGCGGCACAGGATTTTAGATCCATCATGAAGACTGATATTTAAACAGCATTTATTAATTGAGTTTGTATAATTACTTATTTTAGTCTGTAGTTTCACAAACTTGCATTCATTAAAATGAGATTTACTTTATTAAAGAAAGTAAGAAATCAATATACCTTAAATTATAAGCTTATACAGTACAAAGTCCAAAATCTGGACTCGTTGGGACTTCAGCAAATATAGATTTGGGATTTTTCCAGATATTAGATCATCAATTTAAATCTGGTAAGATGTAAATTATACAATTAAAAATATGAAATCGTAATTTATGAAATAACAATTATGATCTAAAGGGTATCAAAATTTACAAAATAAAAGTTAATATTAATTTATTTTATTAAACATTTCATTTAATGTAAGTTGTTTAAGTTGCTTCCACAAAAAATTCAAAAAAATCCTTTTTCTTTTTTCTTATGTCATGTACATTTTGACTTTCCAATGCCATACTATTCGCATAATTTTGAGACGGATATGCCTTTATCCATTTTTTGCAGCAATTCCACTTTTTTGTTTAATGGACATTGAAACATGGTTTCGCTTTGTAGATCCTTTGGCAGCTCCAGAATTGAAGACTCTTTTCAACATAATCGAATGTTCAATCTTAGTTTTTATAAAATTGCCGTCATAATAACAGTTTGAAAAAAAAAGTAATAAGCTGGATCAAATTAGAAGATTAGGGAGTAGCGTAGTCTGTTACATTAACTGAAATGCCTTAGAATCAGTAAAGATAATTTTAGCATGGCTTAATAGCATCCATTATACATTATTGGCTGTGTATCACAAGATTGGCGATGAAAGCCAAGTTGATTTGCTAAATTTTGTCTTGCTCCTATTGCGTACTGGATTAAGCTGAATTGTATTATTTTAATTATTTACTATACTTACGTTTATTTCTTACACATGCTTAAAACTAATCTGAATCCTGAATAAATAAACTCCCACATGTACTTAAGGATTTATCTAGGGCCAGCGCTAGATACCGCTTGGTGCAGTCTCTACAGGTCCTAAATTCTGCTACAAAGCGCCTTCCTAAGTTCTAAGTTTTCACAGCGCCTAAACTTTGGATCCCATTGCTTTCCCTAAATCATAAAAAACTTTTCATCCCTAAATTTTGCTGCTCGTTGTTTCCCCAAATTCCAAAATTTTGTCTTCCCTAAATTCTGCCGTCCGGAGCCGACATATTCTGCTGTCGCTTCTGGGTTTATTGTGAATAACATATCGGTTATTCTTAATTAAAATAGCACTAAATGTAATCTTTTGGCCTATGAGTTTCATTAACAAAATCTATTTTTAGCATATGAAAAGAAATTTTTGTTGAATTTTTCCTCGTCTATATTTCTTAGAGGATTTAAAAATCTATAATCATCGGCAAGTGTAATGTTAGCATAAAAGGTCCTATACTCTTGTTATTCAATTACTAATATAAAAAAAGTTTAGACATCACTGCATGAGTTATTACTGAAGCTGTCATGTATTGATAAACATGAGGTGATGAAATAAAATGTAATAAATAATGACTTGCCAGGTCAGCGTTAGGGATATAAAATAGGTGAATGTGTCGGATTGAGATGTATGCCATGCAGATACTCGGCTATGCAGCCAAATTATTAATCTCACAAACTTATGCTTACATCATTGTTTTTCCATAATGAGGTATTTTATTTAGTGCCTAAGTGAAATTAAGAATCGGAATTTTTAAGTGAAAATCTCCACATGTTTTATTATGGAAGGAAAAGTCAAATGCACATGCATAAAGCAATCAAAAAATAAGTTTGTGGCTTTGAGGTCCGGATTTTAGATAATTCTAGATAATGGACGTCCGGATTTCAGACTTTATACTGTATATGCCAAGTAGCAAAACTTTTGATGTCTAGATGAAGCCGGTCATAACACTCAGAGGGTTAATAAGGAAAAGTACTTTGAATAAAAATAGCTTTTTTTTTTCCTTGCAAGAGGTGTATCTTTGCATTATTGACTTCAGAAGGAAAATCAGAATAACAAAATTTAGAAAAGTAGCTGATAGTTTCATCTGCATGATATGATGGGAGGTAAAATGGTGCTTTAGACAATCAAGGTGCTTCAGTGACAACCAGAAGTAGCGTTAGCCCTCAGTGTCAATCATTCTGTCCTCAGTCAGTTTCTTAGTGAAGTAACTGTGTTACAAAGACCAGTAAATAGGCATCTGTTAGTCACCTTGGACTACAAGAATGAGTTTTGTAGACATACAAACTTTATTAACATACTAAAACATGAAATGTTATTAAACAGAAAAATGCCTGCAGCACAGTATGACTATGAAAACTACACTTCGTTTTATTTTCATACCAAAAAAATAAACATAAAAATATGAATATTGTTGCCATTCACACAAAATTTAATAGTAAAACAAAAGATGGTTCCAGTAACAATATTATCACTTATTAATGATAAAATGGAATTAAATACTGAAAAAATAAATAAGGCTAAAAAAAGAAATTCAAATAATAATACATATCCAAACAACATCTAAGGATCACAACCATTCAGAATGGCCACTTTTGTATTTGCAGGTACATCACTATACATTAATTTGCTTCTGACCTTGAAACATTGATGAAAACTTTATCTCTGCAGACTGTTTACAGATGGTCCACATGTGTATGCAGAGTGATCTGTGGTTTGTATCCCACTGATACCTTTGAACATAGGATCCTGCTTAAACTGGTCTCATCACTTCATCTAGACTTCAGAAGAATGTGATGCTCTGCTCATTACAGCTGAAGCATACTTTGGTCTACAAACTGATTCCTAACACTTATGGGTCTAGAGAATGCATGGAACTCACTATCACACTAATAACATTTGTAAAATGCACACTTATAAAGGCATTGTTTTCATAGCTTCAGTAGAAATTGCTGTTTGTAGCTGCAATGGTTTCTGTATCTTTCCTTTCAGTATAAATGTCATATCCGTGCTCAATATAGCTATCCATTTTCCTTCAGAAATAGGTCTTGATTCTATTTTTAGTGATGGTAGTGGACGAGTTCACAGGATCCACACTGTTAGACAGTATTTAAAACTGAAAACTTTGCTTCGTCAAAATGGTTGCTGAGATCAAATGACTTAAATTCCATTCAGCATGAATTGAACATGTTTGGAAGATATTTAATTTTCTCCCTGATTCTTTCTAGAATATTTATGAGCTAGGAATATAGAGCAAATTCATGTTGCTTTTAATAATAGTGTTAAAGGAAATGTTATAAAAGCATGTGTTCTAATGCTGTGAGTCATTAGGTGTTATTTCAGTATTCTCACAACTCTAACATTAAATATAATTTTAAATTAGTCAACTATCTATTTTAAGGACAAATCAGAGATAGTTTTAAATGAAATTATAGTTGTCCTTACAAATAAAAATGGCAGATGTGTTTGCATTTGAAATGGAGTTAAATATTGTTTTGTGGGCATTATCATGCAATTAAGTAACATAAGCTAGTTTTGGAATTATGGGAAACAGTTCTAATTCATCAAAATATACATTTTATCATAACAAAGTTTGTTTTTTAAAAATATTAATGTATAGAAAATTTAAATGACTGTTAAATGCCTAAGGGGCACTTAAAATACTATTGTGTTGAAAGTCTTCTTGAGAAATCGCTGGCAGAAGTTGAGGTATAAGAGATCCCTGAATTCAAACTTTGGGTGATTTCCTTGCAGGATCTCCATTTAAGGCTGTGCAGAGTCAAACCTGTCAATTGGCTCTCCATCTCATTTCGTCATTTAAATGCGTGTGAAAACTCATTTGAGCTAAAATCAATAAGCTTGGTGTTTCTTCTTAAAAAAAAAAAAAAAAAAAAAAAAAAAATATATATCTTATATATATATATATATATAATATGTATATATAGAGAGTCACATATTCAAATACTGCTCACTTTTGCATTTCTTAAAAAAGGTAACCCTTAAACAATTACTAGATGCTTACCCAAATTATATGTGACATCAAGTTTTAAAATATTGAATTATTTCAAAAATTGTCTAACTTCAGTTTTGGACACCAGTATATTGTCGTTTTAGCCGTCTGGTAGATTTGAATCTTGAAAGACTTTCAAGTTTGGCAGTTTTTGATCTAGATAAGATTTGTAATCATTTCTAGTTATG